TATTTACTATATTATCCTTCGTAAACAGGAACAAGGACACCAGGATAATATATTCATATGAATAATAGTCAATTTTTATTTTGGTTATTAATATTTCATGATGTGATAGAAAAATAATTAATTTTAGTATTTGTAATAATAATAGACATACTATGGAATGAAATACTAAAATTTCAACGTCCTGGAGTGAATAGTTGAATTATTAAAAATTATTAAAATTCACGAAAAATAATTTTGTTCTAGAGAAAATGTTCTAGAGAAACAGAGACAAGGACACCAGGATAATATATACATAAGAATAATAGTCAATTTTCATTTTGGTTATTAATATTTCATGATGTGGTAAAAAATTTATTAATTTTAGTATTTGTAATAATAATAGACATATCAAAGAATATTATACTAGAATTTTAACGTCCTGGAGTGAACAGTTGAATTATTAAAAATTATTAAAATTCACAAAAAAAAAATGTTCTAGATAAATTTATTAGGTTTCAAGCAAGATGTACTTGAATTCCTGAAACAAACAATTTTAATTATTTTTATTATATTAAGAAACGTGTCATAAATTTACTCTGGACTTTCTGTATCTTTTTTCCCTTTGTAATTATTTTCCTCACAACATTTCATACTGTTGATAAATGAGATTATGAGTGGAATTTGTAAAGCAACTGTCACATTTGATATAATTAAAAAAGATGACGAAAACCTTAAACACAAACGACGACGACATTAAACAGATACTGAAATAATTTAATTTGTCAAAGAGAAAGTCAACTAAAAGGCTAAAAAGATAAATAGACAGAGAGCTAGTAGGATAATAAGAATAACAAAGCATTTTGTTTGCAAAAGGTGCTGTAACTTTTGAACCGTTTGAGTAAAGTTGATGCATTATTGAGCAAATTTGTTTAAAATTAAATTATTTTTAAAGTTTTCTAACACTATAAGAACCTACAACAACTCGGTATACTTTAAATTCGCATTTGAAACTGGTGATTAATATTAATACATACAGCAATTGTGTCTTTGCAACTTATTTGCGCATTTATTTATTATATCTCTTGTAACTTTCAAACGGTTTGTTCAAGATAAATAAAATATACGAAATATTTATTAAATTTTCTTTTATGTTTTCTTACATAAACTTAAACCTACAGCAACTCGGTATACTTTAAAATAATTTTTGAATATAATATTAATATAGAGCAACTTTATTCGTGCATTTATTTAAAATAAAAATTAAATAATTTATTTAAATAAAATCAAAATTTGAAATAAATTTTAATATGTGTACTAAGCTCATGACATTTATATTTGATGTAACATTATATAAATAAAAAATGCTTATAAATAAATTTAATATATGTCAAGATATTTTTGAGTATATGTACTATTTAAATTTGAGCAAAAATTAAATAGTTTTCTCAGAAAAAAAAGTCTAACTTACAATTTGCGTACAAAACCACCTAAAATTTTACCAACAATTTATAGGCAACTTGTAGACGAATATCGCGCGTATTTGAATTAATATTTCACTTTAAAAAAATTACACAATTTTAATAATTATTTGCCAAAATATTTTAAAATATGTGCACTGTAAAATTGAGTACTAAAATTATATAGTTTTATTGGAAAAGGTTTGAGTAATTTACAATTTTCTCAAAAAACACATGATAAATCTCATCGCAATATAAGAACTAAAATGAGTGACGTTTATGTTTGATTTAATTTTATATAAATAAAAAGTGCTTATAAATTGAAATATTATTTTTCAAGACATTCTTTAATATATTAACTAATCAAATTTAAGCACAAATTAAATACTTTTCTTAAAATTGATTAATTTACAAATTCTTTATAAAAGTACATAAAATTTTAATCCCAATAGTAAACGGATCTTTTTATTAGAGTTAATTCTTCATTAAGAAAATGCTTATAATTTCATGAATTATTTACCAAAATATTCTATATTATGTATACTAAAGATTTAAATACTAAAATTATATTGTTTTCTTGGAAAATGTTTGAGTAATTTACAATTTTTTTAAAAAATGCATGATAAATCTCATCGCAATATAAAACCTAAAATGAGTGACATTCATATTTGATTTAATTTTATATAAATAAAAAATACTTTTGAATTAAAGTATTATTTTTCAAGATAATCTTTGATATGTTAACTATTCAAATACAAGCACAAATTAAATACTTTTCTTCAAACAAAATTGACTAATTTACAAATTCTTTATGAAAGAACCTAAAATTTCACCCAAAATTTATGTAAGCAAATATTGCGTTTAAGGATTTTCTTATTAGAATTGGTACTTTAAAAAAAATGATTGTAATTTTATCAATTATTTACCAAAAAATGATCATCATTTTACGAATTATTTACCAAAATATTCTACAATATGTACACTATAGAATTGAATACTAAAATTATATAGTTTTCTTGGAAAAAGATTGAGTAATTTACAATTTTCTCTAGAAAGCGCTGGAAAAATCTCATTTCAAAACAAAAACAAAAGCACGCGTGTGACTTATTAAAAAACTTTTAATAAAATCTTTATGAAAAATGCTTATAAAGTGATATATTATGTATCAAAATATTTTTGAATATGTGTACTATTTAAATTTGAATAAAAAATACTACGTTTTCTTTGAAGAAAATTGAGTAATTTGTAATTTTTGTATGAAAATACCTAAAATTTTAACGACAATTTTTGGTTTTTTTCGGAACCCATTTCGTGCGCCTCGTCGTCGCATTGATTTTAATAATTTATTATATAATATTAATTTATATATATATATATATATAACTTCTCGATAATAATGTATTCAAATGAACAAAGTACCATCTTGGTACGTTTCGGTTTCCATTCATCAGTTTCACTTCGACTGAAAGACAAAGTTTACTTAAGACGAGATACGTCGAAGGAAATGTTTACCTAGTTTGCATAATTGTTTGAAATTCGCGCCAAAACGGATGTTTAAGGGAGCTATATAATAGATATATATGATATTTGGAAGTGTTAAAATAATATATCGTGCCTAAGATTATTATTAATTAGTTGACAGTACATACAACTAAGTTGAGAAATAAATTATTGGAAATGACGCGTTAAATATGATACAAAAATTCCTAAAGTTGAAGTTGAAAATTACTCCAAATTTAGAAAGTGAACTATGTAAATTTATTTGTTTGTTTTATAGTATATATAATTAAGCAGAATTTGGTAAATTATTTATAAAATTGTGTAAAAAATACTATTTAAATTAACATAGTGTTGGATGCAACTTGTACATATTTGGACTGCGGATTTAAGACATTTTTCTAGATTTCTTGGAATTTTTCCTTAGTAGGTTTAAATTTCATAATAAAACTAGAAACTACATAAAATTTACTAAAAACAACAGAAATTGATATATACACTTGCAATGGGAAATTTTAAATTAAACTTGCTGAAACATTTATTTGTATATTTACTTACTAGCATTATGTGGATTTTGGACAATTTACAATTTTTTTTAAAAACTTGGAAATTTCTTCTTGTAGACACTTAGATTTCTTCTTGTAGATTTTATTACATCATTACAAACTACATAAAATTCACTAAAATTATCAAAAATTAATATATACACTTGCTTCAGAAATTTTTAAATTGAACTTGCCGATACATTAATTTGTGGATTTAGGAAATTTTTCTTAATTTTTTTCAAATAACTTAGAAATTTCTTCCTAACAATATATATATGTATATATATATATATTTATATATATACAACTTTTTCTTTAAAAATGTACGCGACTAAAAAAATCACACGTGCGAAAATTATTTCCATGTCAACAATCTGTCAGGGTACTCCTTGGATGAAAATGTAAATTTCTCAAAATTTCCAAAGAAAACTATTAAAAGTAAAAATACAGTATCTAGGGCAACTAATTAAAGAATATCTTAATGTGTGATTACTACCTAAAAAGCATGTTTTGTAAACTTTAAAAGTAACTCGACGCGCGATATTCATTCTCATATCACCTATTCATTTGTGTGGACTTTTTGGAAAAAAATGTAAATAACTCAAAATTTTCAAAGAAAACTATTCAAAGTAAAAATACAGTATCGAAGGCAACTTATTAAAGTGTATCTTCAAGTACAATTACTTGCTAAAAAGTATGTTTTGTTAACTTTAAAAGTAACTCGACGTGCGATATTAATTTACATATCACCTATTCATTTTCTTGCACTTTTTGGAAGAAAATGTAAATAACTCAAAATTTTCAAAGAAAACTATTAAATTAGAGTATGCAGAATTAAAGTAGACACAGTAAAGAATATTTTGGCATATAAATACTTTCTTATATGTAGTTCTTGAGATCTGTAAAATTAAATAAAAACCCAACGATGTCTATACAAATATTTCCTTTACCTATTTACGTTTTTCGAATTATTTTTCCATTCCAATTAATTAGGTTATTATTTTCTGAATAATTCATATATGGGGATGTTTGTTTGTTTACGTTCGTTCATCATGCTATTGCGTTTCACATCTGCATTATACACAGTATATGCCCTAAGGGTTGTTTTTCAAGGCGAGCCACACCATCAGCCCTCGATGTAACTTATGCACCCCGATTGCAAACACTGTGATTTTATTCGAAATTTCCGTGTAATATATCGAAGATTGAAGATTGTAAATTATGAGAAACAAATATTTGGAGGAGAGAGGAAAATGATTTTTTCTTATTATTAAATTGTATAGTCGGAGTTACTAAACTTTACTTAGTTACTAACGTATAGTTAGTACAATGTCCGTTTCTACTTACTATGTACATATATTCAAATTACTCAAATACATTTGGAGCAGAAGTTTTGAGCAAATAGTGACATATTATACGAACTGATTGTAGAGCACATGCAAATTTGGGGTTATGCATATATAAATATGCATTGTGTTAAAGCATATATATATATATATATATAATTTATTTTTTCACTGACCTGTATTGGTGCCCAACAAATTGCAAAAGCAGCCACGACAACCACTACAAGGCGAGTCACTCGCCTTTTACCCCGTCGTGATTCCCTCGAACTTGCAGCCCCTACGGCACTGCCTCCGTTTCCCTGAAAATTTATATGAAAACTATAGTGAAAAAATATATGTAAAGATAGCTAATGTGTTAAAGATTCTTGGTATAAAGTTTTAGTTTAAAGGAATTACGGGAACTGTGTTAAAAATGGATTGAAAGTGAGAGGTTGGTTGAGCAAAAATATTTTATGTAGATTTAAGACATTTTTCTAGATTTATTCTAGAAATTTCTTCGAACAGCTTATAGTTTTGTTACATCATTAAAAACTACATAAAATTTACTAAAATCAACGGTACCTGATATATACACTTGCTTTGGAAAATTTTGAACTAAACTTGCTGAAACATCGTATAATGTACTAACTATCACTATATGGATTTAGGAAATTTTTCTAGATTTCATCAAATAACTTGGAAATTTCTTCCTAAAGAGTCTGAATTTGTTTTGTCAATGCTTTAAAAAAAGTTCAAAATTTTCAAAAAATTACAAAATATAAAAAATAAAAATAATTTTTTTTTAAACAAAGTCAATTTTCTTCAAAAATTCGTAAATGCCCCCCCTAGTTTTTTTAAATTCCCGTAAGAAAAGTTATAGTAATCGCAAAAAAATCGAGAATAATTTTTTTCATATATCTTCACGTTTCAAAACCTTCTGAACATTTTGGCATACCTTAGAAAAAATGGATGTATGTGTGTGTGTATGTGCGTGTATGTATGTGTGTTCGGATACAAATTTTCGTCGACGATTTCGGGAACACAAATCAACCGATTTGAATAATTTAAAAAACATTCGATTCGTATTGATAAGGAGGCGTGCTGATTAGTTTTTGGCAAAGGCAGGTCTAGCTGTACCGAATATACGGGGCAAAAAGTGACGAAAACGGTAACTCAGTTTTTAAGAGAACGGAGCGTCCGATTTGAATAATTCAAATTTTCATGAAGGCAGGTCTAGCGGTTTTCGGAGATCTTATAAAAAAAGTAAAAAAAAATGCCATCTGGCGGTCAAAAATCATTATTAGATATATGCACATCAAATTATCAGATATTCTAAAGTTCAGAATTTCTAAATATTGACAGTTTCTCAAAAATCTAATTTTTGCGAAGTAAATTTTTTTCAAAAATGTTTATCGTTTTTAAAAAAATAATAATTTTTGATACGGGAGTTCCAGCAATTTGCCTTAAGGCACGATGCCATGCGTCCCAGTACTTAAATAAATATACAGTGTAATTTAATAGAATGACAAAAAGTATAAAGTGTAATTGAAATCGTTGATCATCGAAAATTATCTATATTATCAAATTTATAAATATTTTGTTGTATATAAACTAATTAATATAGTTTTGTTTTATAGGGGGTACGACTTAAGCAACTATAACCTATCAGAATATCATAAAATAGCTAATTTCACAAATTTGTTAATAAAAACTTCAATAAACTTGCTTTACACACTATAAATGCATCAATGAAAACAAAAGTTGCGACTTCTCAAACACCTGCATACGTTCAAGGTCAAATCTTAAGCAGATATAAATTGTTAAATAAATTGAATAAAATTCAGAATATTATTGTTTCACGCTCATCTATACTGTATATAGTAACAAGTATTAATTATAAATATATATTTATTACTTACAAATTGAATTTCCCAGTATTTTCGATAAATTTGCATACGACACCCGAATAAAATTGCACTCGATAAAAATCAAAACAAACCACGACCGACTCGAGGGCGTCGACCGTCAGCCGAAGACTGAATTTGCACAATTTTAAGAATCACGTGCAACTGCAATTGTCCTTGTGAGATGTTGCCAAATTTATAAATGAATCAAATAAATGTATGAAGACATTGATGGCGCAATTTATGAATCAATAGAAAACATTATGCATTATATGTTGAGGTGAAAAAATCGATAAATCGTGTTCTAGAAAAAAATTTATATTTCTTTAAGGATAATTAAAACATATTGAATAATAATAATAACAAATTTTGGTTGCAATTCAATTTCATAATACAATTAACCATTCCATTTAATTCCAGTGTCATAAAATAAATCAAATATTCAACTAGCTGTAAGTGGAATTCTATCTTAAGGCAATTAAGGCATCGTGCCTCAAAGCAAATTGCTGGAACTTCCCGTACCAAAAATTATTATGTTGTAAAAACAATTAACATTTTTGAAAAAAAATTACTTCGAAAAAATAAGATTTTTGAGAAACTATAAATTGGACAAAAAATTTTTGAAAAAAAATTTTTCTTTATTTTGACATATTTTAGAAGATCTAAACTTTTTTTCAAAGCAATCGTACTGCTTTAACTGCATAGAGAAAAAATATCAAAGCGCGTAAGCGCCGCGTCACCGTCTAACGGATAAGCATTGGTACGGAACCCATAGGAATATAAACAAAATTTATACTTATTGTTAAAATCTCTACAAAATATCTGATAATTTGATGTGCATATGTCTAATGATCATTTTTAACTGCCAATGGCATTATTTGTTACTGTTTTCATTAGATCTCCGAAACCGCTGGACCTGCCTCTATGAAAATTTGATCGGTTCTTCACCTTGTCAATACAAGTAAAGTGTTTTTGAATTATTAAAATCGGACGCTCCGTTCTCTTTAAAACTAAGTTACCATTTTTGGCACTTTTTGTCTCATTTCTTCAGAACGGCTAGACCTGCCTTCGCCAAAAACTAATCAGCACGTCTCCTTATCAATACGAATTGAATGTTTTTTTATTATTCAAATCGATTCATCCGTGTTCCCGAAATCGTCGACGAAATTTGTATCCGCACACACACACATACAGGCACATACACACACACATACATCGATTTTTTCTAAGGTATGCCAAAATGTTCAGAAGGTTTTGAAACGTAAAGATATATAAAAAATTTTATTTTCGATTTTTTGCTATTACTACAACTTTCCTTACGGGAAGTTAATAAGTTTGTAAAATTATTATTTACTGTAATCTTATTAAGTAAATTAAAATCAAGTTTCTATCCAAACCAAAAACCCAGAAATATTTTTTTCTGGGTTGTGAAAACCCACGAGTACAAAAATCACCAAACTTCTACATTTTTTAAACAATTGCTAGAATATTAAAATATTGCATAAAGCAATTAAGCATTAAATTTAATTCCAGCGTCATAAAATAAATCAAATATTCAAAAATCTCTCGACTAGTCCCAAATTTTTTTTTCCATTCATCACAAAAAGTGCATTTTTCTGTCGGATAAAAATAATATGTCACCGGCAGCCGGCAGCAAATATTTCTCTGTTCGTTAATTAAAAATGCAATTAAATCCTTTCGTACAAAGTGCAGCAAACAATCATTTGCTGTTCAATTAATAAAACGTCAGATTAATCCTTCGACGGTTGTTCATTATTATTAAAAACTCAATTGGATTATCTAGTACAATAATTCGAGAACAAACGGTGAATTTTTATAGAGATATAGAGTGAAGAATTTTTATTAATGAAATGCATTTTTTATTTAATTGAGGAAAAAATTGAGGGAATTTGCTTCATTTTTTAGGGAGTCATGTTGAAATGAGCAAAAGTATCAAAGATTTTGTAGAAAACAATACAAAAAATTGTGCAAAGTATATAAAAAAGTTTGATTTTTTTTAGCATAATACAGAATTTTATCTGATTATTTTTTTGTTATACACTATTTGTAATGTATTCGTGAAAAAATATTTAAAATTTATTAATATTTTTATCTGTAAATATAAGAGATGTATGATCTTAATAGATTACAACTTATGACTTTTCTTAATTTTTATTTAAAATAAATAACTTCATAATTTTATACTCTGTATTTTATGTATGTATAAAATTTTAAAATATGATTTTGTATTTCAACACCAATTTATAAGTAGACTCTAGGTTATTAATTAATTACTATAGTATTAGAAAAATTCACAGATAATTTTATTAACAAATAAATTATCGAATATAGTATTTATATATATTAGATATGAAAATTATCTAATATAGCAGATAACGTACAAGTTATAAGAGATATAATAAAAAATGTCTGAATAAGTCGTCAAAGTTAGAAGGATTAATTTCTCTATTTTTAATTGCAATTTTAAAGTATACCCAGTTGCTGAGGGTCATTATGATGTTGAAAAATATGATAGATAATTTAATTTGGTACAAATTTGCCAAATATTTCATTTATATTAAACTAACGATTCAAAAGTTACATAAGTTTTAGTAATGAATACACTTAAAAAAGAGTTACATTCAAATTGTTATCAAATTCAGAATATTTGGCATTTTCAAAAGCAGTTTAAAAGTATACAGAGTTGTTTTAGGGTTTTATGATATGCTAATATATTTTAGCATATATAATAAATGAATGCCCAAATAACTTATCAAACATAACTAGGATAAATTTCTTATTGGTAAATACGGTTTTAGAGTAAGCCGAGTTGATGTAGCGTCATACAATACTAAACAACTGTATAGATCATTCAATTTTAAACATATTTTTCGAAGATCTGAATTACTTTGCACAAACCGCTCAAAAGTCACAAAAAATATAATAAATACCAAACTCAATTCTTTAAATATTTGGCTAAGTTCAATTTTTATTTTAGAGCATACCCAGTTGCTGTAAGTCATAATAATATAAGACAATATTATAAGCTGAACAATTTTGCATAAATTTGCTAAATATACAATTTAATTTAAACAACACGTTTGGAAGCTACAAGAGATATAACAACTAAATACCTGAATGAGCTTATGCAAATTATCTTAGTCTATTTTCAATTGCAAATTTGAAGTATCCAAAGTTGCCTTAGGGCAATATGATGTTAAACAATATTATAGACATTTAATTCTGCACAAATTTGCAGAATACATCTAGTACTTGAAACAAACCGTTTAAAAGTTACAATAGATACTGTACAAAAAGGCACATCCAAGTCTTTTTTTTCCCCAATTGGCTATTAACACTACACCGGGTCGATCCTAATAATTTCTGAACACCACATATTTTTCTTTAAACCTGAATTCACCTTGTTTCCAGGTTATAATTCATCTCTCTGTATTCGCAAATAAAACATTTGCCATTTATATGGTAATTTCTCATTTGTTTCGACCCACTTGCTCTTGCTCCTGAATAACTACTTCTGTTTAAAATTAACTACATGCAAATATGCTAATGTCGACTCTCCTGTGGAATTATATATAGAAAATAATGTAGACGAGTGGACACAATTTAGGGATAAACGACCCTACAGCAACTCGGGGTACAATAAAAATATAATTGACAAAGGGAGGAATTAACTTTGATGACTTATTTGGGAGTTTGGTTATTACATCTCTTGTAACTTTTGAACGATTCGATTTAAATGAATTATGTGTTCGATGAATTTGTTTAAGATGTAATTGTCTAAAATATTGTCTAACAGTATTATATCATATTGCAACTCGGTATACTTTAAAATTCCAATTTAAACTGCACGTCTGATAAAACTATATACAGACTTTACATAATGATAAAAATACGCCTACATGTTTTATCGCCGGAAAAAATTAATTTTATCCCTCATATGTATTCTACCATATTAAATTTGAATAATTAAAAATACCCAATTAATTACTTTGGAACTAAAAGTAATTAAAATCTTCCCTCACAAATATTTCTCTTTAAAATAATTTTCATGTGGGACTCATTATATGTTCTGTTGACATTTCCGATACATATTGGTAATAAATAGCAATAATTCTATTAATTAGCAATTCATTTGATTCGAATATGACTCATATGCTAATTAATAATTTTGTAATTATACGTGGAATCATTAAAATCGGATGTGAATACCGTAAATTATGCTAATAACTTGTTGGGGAAAACATTTATTATATGTCTTGTAACTTTTGAATCGTTTGGCTAATTTGAATGCAATATTTGGAGAATTTATTTAAAATTTAATTGTCTATAATATTGTCTAACATTGTAGATTTCTAAAGCAACTCGGTATACTTTAAAATTGAGATTTAAAATCTTTTAACGCAAAGAACGTTTCTGACATTCTGACATAACTCGCTGCAATATCCTGAAGCCTCTACGCACTAATTTACACTTCAGCATAAATATCTAATTTCCTGTACTATATACAGTACAGATGTCTTAGACAATATTATAGTACACAGAATTCTGCACATTTGTTGCTTAATAACCAAATTTCTATCTTCAACTGTTTTCAAGATACAGTAAGGCAATTGCAACCAAAATTTCTACAAAAATGTTTATGAATTGGTATGAAAATTTTCTTACCCTATAATGATGTGACGACATAGGTCCTCTCCAAAGCCTTGCCAACATCCTCATGTACAAAAATGATATTAAAGTCAAAGGCATTACATAGGAAGAGGCAAAAAATGATATATGAAAGGCAGGTCTAGAATATCCTGCCGATTCTAGGAAAACACAGGAGGAGTAGCCTTCGTTTCCGTAGGAATATCTGGAAAAATAGAAAAAAATTAATATCTCGAAAAATATACATTTTATAGTAAGTATGTATTAGAATAAATTGTTTAGTATATAATTATTTATAAATGTTGCATATGCAATAACTTTCTATATCTGCTTGTTTTTTAGATACATATGTTTGTATAGGGATGAAAATTTATAGCCATAAAATGTGCAAAGCTTCAGTTTTTTTTTCAAATAACTCAGAGAATAAAAACATTTTGTTATATAACTATCAGACACAGTTTAAAAGCATGAAATTATCTTTTTATTTCTTTAACATAAATATTCTAGAGTTTACGGTTTTTCAGATATTAATTTTCAAACCATCATTTTTTCTTACCTTTAGTCATTTTTCCTTTAGTTTTTGTCAAATATCTCGCTTAAAATATTTTTTTTGATATATAATTATTAAACAAAGTTGAAAAGCATAAAATTATCTTAGATTTCCTCATTTACATAAATACTCTATCGTTTATGGTTTTTGAGATATTAATTTTCAAATTATCATTTTTCCTTACCTAACTCTTTCATGCAAAATCAAATGTGCAGTATAAAATTAATATAAATATGTACAATGTTGTCGTTTTCGTCAAATATCTCGCTTAATATAACTTTTTTATGTTATATAACTGTTAGGTAAAGTTAAAAAGCATAAAATTAGCTGTATGTTTTTCATCCACATTAATTACGTAACTCTCATAGTTTACGAGATATAAATTTCCAAATTATCTACTTCTCTAGCCTTGATTTACATAACAAAAATTGTGCATTGTTTTAGTTTTTGTTAAATATCTCGCTTAATATTAATGTTTCATTTTATGATTATTAGGCAAGATAGAAGATTATATAATGAGATATACTTTTTTCTTTGACATAAATATTCTATCGTTCATAGTTTTTGAGATATTAATTTTCAAATTATCATTAACCCTTTCCTAACTCCATCATGCGAAATCAAATGTGCAATTAAAATAAAACAAATGTGCAATGTTATCGTTTACGTCAAATATCTCGATTTGTATAATTTTTTTGTTAAATAACTATTAGACAAAGTTTCAGGGCATACCATAAGTCACATTTTTTTCATCTACATAAATTTCGTATCTGTCATAGTTTTCGAGATATAAATTTTCAATTGTTTTTTCCACAGGCCTTAATTTTCATGAAACATTTTGTGCATTGTTGAAGTTCTTGTCAAATGTCTCGCTTAATATGATTTTTTTTGTTATACAATTATTAAACAAAATAGAAGACTATAACATGAACTATACTTTTATCTTATACATATATACTCTATCGTTTATAGTTTCCAAAATATCAATTTTCAAAATATCATTTTTCCTTTCCTAACTCCGTCATGCGAAATAAAATGTGCAATCAAAATAAAACAAACGTGCAATGTTGTCGTTTTTGTCTAATATCTCGCTTAATATTAATTTTTTGTTATATAACTATTAAACAAAGTTTTAAGGCATACATTAAGCCACATTTTTTTTATCTACATAAATTTCGTATCTGTCATAGTTTTCGAGATATAAATTTCCAAATTGTCTTATCCTCTTACCTCAATTTACATTTGTAATGTTTCAGTTTTTAACAAATATCTCGATTACTATTATATTTTTATAATACACATATTAAAAAAAGTTAAAGAGTATAGAACAAACTACATTTTTCCCACTTACACAAATATTCTATCTATTATACTTTTCAAGATATCTAAAATTTTTTCCCTTACCTAACTCTTTCGTGCCAAATTAAAGATGCAGTATAAAATTAAAAGAAAATGTAGCAATGTTATCGTTTACGTCAAATATCTCGATTTGTATAATTTTTTGTTATATAACTATTAGACAAAGTTTTAAGGCATACAATAAGTCACATTTTTTTCATCTACATAAATTTCGTATCTCTTATAGTTTTTGAGATATAAATTTCCAATTGTCTTGTCCTTTCACCTCAATTTACATATGCAATGTTTGAGTTTTAGCCAAATATCTCGATACTATAACATTTTTATTATACATATATTCAGCAAAATTAAAGAGCATAAAACGAGTTACATTTTGTTCATTCACACAAATATTTTATCGTTTAGAGTATTCGAGATATTAATTTCCAAATTATTATTAACCCTTTCTTAACTCCATCATGCGAAATCAAATGTGCAATTAAAATAAAACAAATGTGCAATGTTATCGTTTACGTCAAATATCTCGATTTGTATAAATTTTTTGTTAAATAACTATTAGACAAAGTTTCAGGGCATACCATAAGTCACATTTTTTTCATCTACATAAATTTCGTATCTGTCATAGATTTCGAGATATGAATTTCTAAATTGTCTTATCCTCTTACCTCAATTTACATATGAAATGTTTTAGTTTTTGACAAATATTTCGATTACAGTAATATTTTTGGTATACATATATTTAGCAAACTTAAAGAGTATAAAACAAGCTTAATTTTTTTCATTCACACAATCATCATATCTATTATACTTTTCAAGATATCTAAATTTTTTCCCCTTACCTAACTCCTTCGTGCCAAATTAAAGATTCAGCATAAAAATAAAACAAATGTGCAATGTTGTAGTTTTTATCAAATATCTCGCTTAATATTAATTTTTTGTTATATAACTATTAGAAAAAGTTTTAAGGCACACATTAAGTCACATTTTTTTCATCTACATAAATTTCGTATCTGTCATAGATTTTGAGAAATAAATTTCCGAATTGCCATGTCTTTCTACCTCAATTTACAATACCTCAATTGCAATGTTTTAGTTTTTGCCAAATATCTCGATTACTATAACATTATCATTTAACATATATTCAGCAAAATTAAAGAGCATAAAACGAGTTACATTTTGTTTATTCACACAAATATTCTATCGTTTAGAGTATTCGAGATATTAATTTTCAAATTATCATTAACCCTTTCCTAACTCCATCATGCGAAATAAAATGTGCAATTAAGATAAAACAAATGTGCAATGTTATCGTTTACGTCAAATATCTCGCTTAATACAATTTTTCTGTATTATAACTATTAGACAAAGTTTTAAGACATAAAATTATCTACATTTTTTTCATTTCCATAAATTTCGTATCTGTCATAGATTTTGAGATATAAATTTCTAAATTGCCATGTCCTTCTACCTCAATTTACAATACCTCAATTGCAATGTTTTAGTTCTTGCCAAATATCTCGATTACTATAACATTATCATTTAACATATATTCAGCAAAATTAAAGAGCATAAAACGAGTTACATTTTGATCATTCACACAAATATTCTATCGTTTAGAGTATTCGAGATATTAATTTTCAAATTATTATTAACCCTTACCTAACTTCCTCATGCGAAATCAAAGATGCAGTATAAAATTAAAAGAAAACAAATGTGCAATGTTGCAGTTTTTATCAAATATCTTGCTTAATATAAATTTTTTGTTATATAACTATTAGACAAAGTGTTAAGGCATACAATAAGTCACATTTTTCTCATCTACATAAATTTCGTATCTGTCATAGTTTTCGAGATATAAATTTCCAAATCATCTACTTCTCTAGCCTTGATTTACATAACAAAAATTGTGCATTGTTTTAGTTTTTGTTAAATATCTTGCTTAATATTAATATTTTGTTTTACAATTATTTGACACGATGAAAGATTATAGAATGAGCTATACTTTTTTCTTTGACACAAATATTCTGTCGTTCATAGTTTTCGAGATATTAATTTTCAAATTATCATTAACCCTTACCTAGCTTCCTCATGCGAAATTAAAGATGCAGTATAAAATTAAAAGAAAATGTAGCAATGTAGCAGTTTTTATCAAATATCTCGCTTAATATTAACTTTTTGTTATATAACTATTAGACAAAGTTTTAAGGCATACAATAAGTCACATTTTTTTCATCTACATAAATTTTGTATCTGTCATAGATTTTGAGAAATAAATTTCCGAATTGTCTTATCCTCTTACCTCAATTTACATATGAAATGTTTTAGTTTTTGACAAATATTTCGATTACAGTAATATTTTTGGTATACATATATTTAGCAAAGTTAAAGAGTATAAAACAAACTACATTTTTTTCATTCACACAAATATTTTATCTATTACAGTTTTCGAGATATCAATTTTCAAAAAATTATCATTTTCTTCACCCGACTTCTTAATCTAATTATCTACTTCTCTCGCTTCGATTCACATCAAATGCGCAATGTTGTAGTTTTTGTCAAATATCTCGCTTAATATTAATTTTTTGTTATATAACTATTAAACAAAGTTTTAAGGCATACATTAAGCCACATTTTTTTCATCTACATAAATTTCGTATCTGTCATAGATCTTGAGAAATAAATTTCCGAACTGTCTTATCCTCTTACCTCAATTTACATATGAAATGTTTTAGTTTTTACCAAATATCTCGATTACTATAACATTATCATTTAACATATATTCAGCAAAATTAAAGAGCATAAAACGAGTTACATTTTCTTCATTTACACAAATATTCTATCATTTATCGTTTTCAAGAAATAAATTTTCAAAAAATTATCATTTTCCCTACCCGAATTCTTAATCTAATCATCTACTTCTCTCGCCTTGATTCAGATCAAACGTGCAATGTTGTAGTTTTTGTCAAATATCTCGCTTAATATAACTTATATGTAATATAACTATTAGACAAAGTTTTAAGGCATAACACTAACTAAATTTTTTTTCATCTACATAAATTTCGTATCTGTCATAGTTTTCGAGATATAAATTTCCAAACTGTCATGTCCTCTTACCCCAATTTACATATGAAATGTTTTAGTTTTTGACAAATATTTCGATTACAGTAATATTTTTGGTATACATATATTCAGCAAAGGTAAAGAATATAAAACGAGCTACATTTTTCCCATTTACACAAATATTCTATCTACCACAGTTTTCAAAATATCGATTTTCAAAGTATCATTTTCCTCTTACCTGACTTCTCCATGCGACAGCGCCACCGGAATAGCAGTCGTCAATATCACAGTCCACGTCAACAGGATAGCCCTTAGGGCATACCTCTCATTCCTGACCGACATACTTGCAATAGGATGGACAACTGCCAAAAATCTATCCAAACTCATCAGAACCAGGGTATAGACCGATGCATGAGCAGTCACCACAATCAGATACTGCACAATCTTGCACCACAAATCCCCAAAGGGCCAGGCTGTCAGGACATAATCAGTTGCAGTAAAAGGGATACAAAATATCACAAACAAGAGATCTGCTACTGCCAGATTGATGATAAGGATATTAGTGGTGCTCCTCATGCCAGGATTTAGGGCTACTACTAGGACCACAAGGGCGTTTCCTAGAAGTCCAGCCAGACCGATGATGGTGAAGAAAATAGGGACTACTGTGGATACTATACGTTGAATTGCCCATGTGTCTATGCCAGAATCGTCGGAGACGTTCTGCCAAAGGGAATCGTTGTGGCAGAGACGTGCATCTAAGTCTAAAGTTCCGTTGGTACAAGACGCCAACATTTTGGACGTTTTTTGGATCACAGGGGACAAACAAATTTGTTAATCATGGTAATTAATACAAATTTACTGGTTAACAAAGTTTTTTTAACTTGGCACTTTGTTTGGCCAAATTGGTTCAAACTTTGGTTTGCATCCCACAAATTTTTTCTGAGATCTGGTCAAATTTGAGCTAGCGAGTTTAAAAACTGCTCAACTTGTTGGTAAAATCTATTTCACTAGTTACCAATTGGTTTAAACTTTGGTTTGCATCCCAAATTTTTTTTTTTTTGAGATCTGGTCAAATTTGAGCTAGCGAGTTTAAAAACTGGTCAACTTATTGGTAAAATCTATTTTACTAGTTAACAATTTTTTTAAACTTGGCACTTTGCTTGTTCAAGTTGGTTTAAACCTTGGTTTCATACCAAAAAAATTTTTGAGATCTGGTCAAATTTGAGCTAGCGAGTTTAAAAACTGTCACTTTACTGGTAAAAAAATTTGTTGACAAAGTTAATTAAACAAACAAGTTGGCACATTGTTTCTAGTTCTTGGTTTTAGTTTTGGGTTGTAACTGGTATATACTTTTTTTAATTTGTTCAAATTCGAGCTAGCGAATTTAAAACTGCTGAACAACTTATTGGTAAATAAATTTTGGTGACAAAGTTAATCAAAGAATTAAGTTGGCACGTTGCTTTTGTCTCTTGGTTAAAATTTTGGATACAACTGGTACAATTTTATTCAAATTGTTCAAATTCGAGCCAGCGGATTTAAAAATCTGGTAAATTTTTTACTACAACTGACAAAGTTTATCAATCAAAAAATTTGTTGAATTGTTGGTATAAGTTCTTGTATACTTGTTTGTAAATTCGTTTAAATTTATTTATTTATTATTTATTTAATTATTTATTTTTTCGGTCAATTTTATAAATGACTTGTTAGCAAAAAAAATTAAACAAATTTTGTTGAGTCCAACAACTGGTTATTAGTTTGTCGTATTTGGTTGAAATTTTGGAAGAAAATTGACACAATGGTAATAAAGTTATCAAAAATTAATATTTTATCAAAACAACAAATAGAAAAATGTAAAATTAAATGAAATGAATTAAACCTCAAAAACTGTGATCTATGAATCACGCCTTTTACCTAAAAAATTATCAAATCCTTGTTAAAAATTATTCGATTTTTACCAGATTTAATACACTATGTGTACTTTTATCTAATATACCAAATTTTAATATTTGTGCTTAATAAATTTGATTAAAATCAATAAAAAAGTGACAAAAAGTATCGGTTACGTAATAACATTTTTCTCTAGAACTTTATAAAAATCCAAGAAAATTCTAATTAGATTTAATAATCAGGGTGTATAATTATTTATAACAATGAAATTTTAAACAAAAAAATCGATGAAAATAAACAAATTTATCACAAAATTTATATTTTACATCAACAAATAAAAATAAGTCTAAAATAATTGGTTGAAATCCAAAAAGTGTATAAAAATCCTTTAAATTTTACAAATTTTTGGAGTTTTTTTTGTCTAAATTTAATAAACCAGGTGTATATTTAGCACACTGTATTTTAAAACAAAAAATCAATTAAATCGTAACTAATTTTATCAAAAAATAATATTTTATATTCAGAAAAAAAAAGTCTAAAATAATTGGTTAAAATCCAAAAAAACATCTAATTTAGAACCTACAGATGTAAATCCTTTGATTTTACAAATTTTTGGAGTTTTTTTCGTCCAAGTTCAATAAACCAGGTGTATTTATTTTGCACACTATATTTTATAACAAAAAACGATAAATTGTAAACTAAATTTAGCAAAAATTTATTTTTTGTACCCAACAAAAAACAAAAACATGTCTCTTAAATCGAAAAAATTGGACAAAACCCCCAAAAAACGTCTAATTTATAACCAGTACGTGTTAAATCTGTATATTTTATAAAATTCTATAGTTTTGAATCAATTATGGTTAAATTCTGATTTTAGATCTAATAAACTAGTTGTATATTTAACTTTTTATATAAAAACCAAAAATTCGATTAAAATTTGAATTAAAAGTATCGACAAGTTTTACCCAAAACTTTGTCAAGAACTTGATGCGTTTTTGATCAGTTTTTATTAAGTTTATATCTACTTTTACCACAGAACAAAATTTTAAAGAGTCTATTATCTGATTATCGAACTAGGTGTATATAGATTTCTTTTTAATTAAAAAATCGGTAAATTAAAAGTGCAGAAACCACAACTTGTTGAGTTTCAGTAAAATCGACGGCAGTGTGGGCGTCGGACGAAGGCGACCTGTTGATCTGAAACAAAAAGAATGATTTTTAATTAATTTCAGGATAAAAATAGACTTAAAGAGCTATAAATAAATAAATAGAGTTTGTAGTTGAATTGATTTGAGAAGAAATTGTAGAAGAAATTTGATAAAATGCGTTAAAATGCTTCAACTTGTTCTGGTTCAACGCGTATTTCTTAGGACAAATAATTAATAAAATGTGGCGATTGAAATATTTTGAAAAAATTGAGAAATTGTTTATACTTTCATATATATATATATATATATATATATTAATTACTATTATTTAATTTATACTAATATTATATTCTTACATAAATTTAACAATTTCTTGACAATTCCCCTTAATAAAATTAATGTTCTTTCTGAAGGATGAAATGTGATTTTAATTACTATGTATAGATGATTGATTATTATTGAAATATAATAAAATATAAAGTATGTATGTAACAAAAATCATTATATATATTTTTTTAAGTAATAAAACAATGTAAATTGATATATTAAAAATAATATTTTTATCAGAAAAAATTATATATACAAGAAAATTATTTTATTTTCGCTAGATATTTTTATTTATACTTGTTGTAAACTGTGAAGAGTATAAATTAAGTTTTGTACTGTTTTATAATAAATTTTGTATGAAACTATATAAATTAGTTTATACTAAATTTAGTAAATTTATCTAGTTTTTTTCTAATGTAAATAATTATATACTACAGAACAAAAATTTCTAAATATTGAGAAAAATGCAGAAATTTGTCCCGATTTTATTATCCAAATCTGAGAAGAGTATAAATAAATTTTTCGTGCCAGTTTATACTAAATTTTGTATGAAACTATATATATTAGTTTATACTAGTAATGAAATTGTTTTTTAGCAATTAAACAGATACATGCAATTTTAAAAATCAATATAAATATATAATAATATATATTATATATATCTATATATATATATATTAGGTTGTCAAATATCTCCCTTCCTCCGCTTTTTTGCTCTTGGTTTATAATACAAAAAGGCGGAAGGGAGTATTTGACAACCTATTATATAATATATATATATATATATATATTATGATATTGATATAATTTTCTAATTATATTTAATTTTATAAATGTATTTGTATTGAGTGCATTACTATGTTTTCTTCCATGACGTGCCTTCAAGTCACGTCATTGCAATCTATATGACATTTCCATCAAATGTATTATATATAAGTAATTATTTTCTAAAGTAATTAATAACCTTATATAATATTTCTATTTGTTATATCATAAAATACAAATTTTCCGTCGCAAAATATTTTCTAATACATAAAGACTAAGTTTTTGCTGTATGCTTAAATAAATAGAAAATAGAGATATTTATTTTATATAATTATGTACTGAAACAATTGCAGATATTTGAATTTAAAAAAAGATCAAAAGTATTTGCAAAATT